AGGAGATTGAACTCAAGGAGAATTTAACATTCAGAGCTAAACCAAAAGAGATTGTGGATTATAAGGACAAGCAATTAAGAAACAAGACCATTAGATTGGTTAAAGTAATCTGGAAGGGCACAACTCCAGGTGATGCTACGTGGGAGACCGAGGACAGTATGTGACATGATTATCCTCGTCTTTTTGATTAAGTAAGTAGTTAATAGTTACTAACTTCAAATTTTGAGGACAAAATTTTTAAAAGGAGGGGAGAATTGTAACATCCCAATTTAAATTTTAATAGTTAATTTTTGGTAAATAGAAATTTAAAAAAAATATTTAGAGGTAAGCAAATTAGTAGGAGATGATTATTAAATCTAACTTAGGATATAATTCTAAATTAAAAAAAATATAAAAAAATATTATTATTAAAATATTATTATTATTATAATAATAAAAAAAAAGTATGAGAAAGAAGGAAAGAAAGAAGAGAACAAGACGGCTTTCGGTGCTCTTCCCCGGTGCAATGATTATATTTATATAATAATAATAATAAAAAAGAAGAGAGAGGAAATAATTAAAAAAAATGTGGGACCCAAAGTATTTTTTTTAAAAACCCATCCCTCCTTCTTCGTTTCTTCATTGCTCCCTTTTTCATTTCTCTTCGTGCGCGAACAAAGGGGGCGACGGTGTGCAAGTTTGCCGGTGCTGGGTTTTAAGGTAAGAGTTTTTAATAGGATATTTAGGGTGTGATTTTAAGCTTTTTAAGACTAAGTAAGTATTCTAAAAATTTTTCTTAGTCATCCTTCTTCTTTAGTTTCTGATTTTGTAGTGGTAGAAAATTTAAGATCTGGAAGAGGGATGAATTTATATTAAATAAATATGATTTTTGAGGTTGTTAGTAGTATAATAAATATTCTAGAGTATAAATTTATTGGTGATCTTTGAATTTGTGGCTTATGGATCAAATTTTAGACTAGATCTAAAAATATATGTTGATTTATTGAGGTTTAGATGATTATTTGGGATGAGAAATGAATTATTATGGCTATATGATTATGATTCTAAGCTAGAGACTTAATTTTTAATTTTTGGGTATTTTAGGTACGAATTTATGAAATAAAAAGAAAATTTTGATAATAAAAATTAGTTTAGAAGTTGATTTTTAGATTATTAATGTTTATTGATAATTAAAAGAGGAGTTAAAAATTTTACTTAATAGTATTAACTCTAAATTTGTATTAAGATTGAGATTAGAAATTATGTTATATTTTTAATTCAATTATTAGAATTATTTTATTAGTTTCAAAAATTGAAACTAATATTTATAAATAATATGTTATTTGTAGATTGTATTACTGGTGAAGATTGTGGTGAGAGAGAAATTTTAAGGAATAATTTATTGAAAAAGCCACAAGGTAACCATGCTTTTAATTTGTGATTTGTGTTACTCCATGTTAATTGGGTGATTATTGAGAAAATTATAAATTTTGTAATATTATATAATTGTGCAATATTATTATAAATTTATTTGATTATTGTGGGAGGTGTTGGGAGACTTGCTATTGTTGTTGTATTTATGTGCCACGTGGTACGCCCCTATTGGAGCTCAATAGGTGGCTTGTAAGGGCTCGGGCTAATCTACCTTTGGCCGGGTGATTTAGCACCGAGTGAGGGCTACGGCTCGAGGTTAATGGAGGGATATAAGGATGGTTGTTTGTGTGTATTGTAATATTTCTTATATTTGTTGGAATTATATTATTTTTAATTCTCACTTAGTAAGCACACACTTAACTGTTTGTATACACTATCATAAATTGGCTTTGGTTACTGGGACTTTTGATTCTCATTATGTGGTTAACAATTTTCAGGAGAAGAGCCACGAGTGACACATGGAAGAGGCCCAGAGGCTTAGTGGTATAGATTCACTGTCTCTTTTGGGTATTTAATTTATAATTTATAATGTGTTATATTGCCAATATTAGGGTTTTTTGTTTATTGTCAATTATATGAATATATAAATGTAATTATGCCTTTCAAACTATTTCTATTTTTGGTACAATTTGGATGACTGTAATTTTAATATTTGGTTTACTTTAGATTGGTTAAAATGGCATGATTATAAGGCCAAATAACTGGATTGTGTTGAAAATTTATTAAATTGCTTATTTTACTTGTTGGGAGTATAAGGATGGACAAATGTGATTTAGCCTAATGGCATGTGGGAGGTAAAAATTTATCTGAAATGTTATAGTGTGTGAGTTGAAGCCAATTATAAAATATTTTATATTAAAATTATTGATATAAAAATGTGTTGGGTGGCTGTAACCCAACTATGGTTGAGTTAAATTATTTAAAAAAAAATTTTGGTGTGTTACAAGATCTATGCTTGCGATTTCTACTTATATATATATATATATATATATAAGTACTCACTGCGTTTCAAAATAAATGTTTGTAGGCTTTTTAAAATAAAATACAAAATGTAATTACTCCATAAAAAATATTGAATACATTGCTAAAATTGTCCTTAAAACTTAATAAATACTCTTTAAAAATGTTAGAGTAAATAAGAATGTATCATAAAAATGTTAATAAATATTGTTTAAAATTTTTAAAAAGACATGTACAATGAAACAAAAAAAAGGGAGAATATCATAAAAGGACATGTGAAAAAAAATTTAATATCTATCAAGAACTTTTAAAAAGTAAACGTTAAATCATTAAAAATTTAAAAATAAAATTCAAGTTTTAATAAGTTTTTGATTTAAATTCTTGTTAAATATTGAAATTTTTTAAAAAAATTTCAAGGGCTCCAAAAAGAAAAAAAAAATAAATAAATGGGCCTGCAAATGCAGAAAGGCAACGGACTTGGAGGACTCATGAACGAAAAGTCAGCACCGACTAAAGCTGCTCCCTCACATCCTCTGACATATTTAAGTGATCTATTTATATTTTAAAATTAATTATATAAAATATTTTTTTCATTTAAAAATAAAAAATATTTTTAATTAAATTTTATTTTTTAATAAATTAGTTAATTATTTTTCAACTAACTCTATCTTTTTATATTTATTTTTATTAAATATTTTATAATAAATATAAAGTCATTATTAATAGGGATACTTTTAAAAAAAGACAATGATTACATTTTAAAAGATTAAAAATATCTTACATTTTTAAATATTTAACTCCTGAAGAAATACTTTATATTTTTAAATAAAGGGAGTATATTGTAGAGAATTAACTACATTAATGGATATCTCCGTTAATCTTTCCAATGGTTTGAGGAAGAAAGATTGGATCTATTAAAAAAAAAAACACCAAGAAGAATGATTGGTTATACTGTATTCAACAATTAAGTTCATTAAAAAACTGAACAATTAAAATGATTCATTCATTTTGTATTAACCTCTAGTTTTTATTGAAACCACATTAAACTTTCAGGTAGCTTTTATATTTGTGGATTTGGATTTAAATTTTAAATATTTTTATTTTAAATCTCACATTTTAAATTTAAGTATTTAAAATTTTTTGTTTGAATAGTTTAAAAATGTTTAAATAAAAAAAAGAAAGAAAGTTGAGATTCAAAATGACACGGAAAATTGAAGTGGTAATTTGAAATCTATTTTCTAACACATGAGGGATAAGAACGCAAGAGAAGAAAAGACAGTAGAGTAATAAAGTTATTGATAGTGGAAATATGAACAAAATAATATGTTTGAAGTGATTAGAATTTTAAATGATTATAATATAAAATAAATTTAAAATTATAAAGAAAAATATAATAAAAATTTAAATTTATAAATTTTTATATATTTAAATATTTAAATGAGAGAATTAAATAGAAGTTCAGAAATTTTTGTGTATAATTTAATCCTAAATTTTCATTAATCCAAACATATTACTACAAAATAATAAGTTAATCATAGTTTATATTTTTTTCGTACAAAATTTTAATATTTTACAGATAAACTACTTGAATCATAAATGCATAACGTAAATGATTTTCTGTTAATTTTATTGTTCACATGTGAGCCATGTCATGTTCTTTATATGCTTAGTACTTACTCCCTCCATTAAAAAATATAAAATATTTTTACAGGGTTAGATATTAAAAAATAGAAGGTAATTTTAATTTTTTAAAATTTAATCATTATTTTTTTAAGTGTCTCTATTGAAAGAATTACTTTTATATTTATTTTAGAGTAAAACACCCTATTAAATAAAGATAAATATAAAAAGATAAGATTAATTTAAAAATAAATAATTATTTTAATTAAAAATAAAATTTGATTAAAAATACCTTATTTTTTAAATAGAGAGAGAGTATATATTTAGAATAAATGTGTATTTTCAAAAAGAAATATATTTACATTTGAATCTTTGAACTTAAAAAACAATTCAAAATGTATTGCGCCAGGCAATTTTTCCCCCCATTTTGGGAGCTTTAAATAATTCTCATTATATTGAACGAAGAATATTTTTAATAATTTTTATTTTTCTTTTAAAATAATAAATTTATAAAGTCTCTGGTTTTTTTTTTGCCTTTGCCAAAAAAAAGTCTCACTATTTAACACCATAGAAATTTTATTAAAAAAATGTTTATATTATTTAAAAATAATTTTAAAAGAAGAGTAATTTGAAAAGAAGAGTTAAATGGAAAGAACCAGAATGTTAATTTAATTATTAAAATACTCACTCCTTAAAACACTATCCTCAAGGACACGCGCTGCGACTCTCCGCAGAGCTTCAGAATACGCTTGCCTGAACTCTCAGGACTCTGGCCAAGCTTTTAATGCAGCTTTGACATTTCTTATCTCTTCCGTATGTTCTTCCACAGCGTCGTCTCGATTCACGTGCTGGGTCGTCCATTGATTGTGGATTAGGGCCACATGCGCAGATTCCACTTTGACTTTGGTGGCAAAGGCGGGGAAAATTAAAAGCGCAACTTCGTCTCGGTATTTACAATCAATTTGTTTCTTTTTTCTTAGTTATTTTTTGTATTCACTCATTTCTTGTTTGTTTCTTCTGGGTCTTCCGAGTGATTCCTAGTTGGGAATTTATGAACTTAAGTTTGGGTTTTGTTTTGGAATTATGTGACACGAACGCTGCTTGGGTCATTGTGTTTCTTGCTTTTCCTATTTTACTTCCCTTGGATTCCGGTGGTAGTGCTTCTGTTTAGAAAAGTTGACTGCTTGCTTTATCGAAATCTGATCAAATTTGGAACATCCCTTTCATTGACTGTTTTTTTTTTTTTTTTCTTGCCAGCTTTTATTAAGTTAGGTCCAGTTTGGGTTTACGAAGTATTTCCCTGGACTTACTCAATTTTGGGGGTGGGTCTTGGTGTTTCTGGTTCTTAAGAATTTGTTCTTTCTTTCTTGGGGATTTGTGTGGTCAGGCTTGTAATTCTGGGTATTTTCTGCTCGTAGCTAAGTTTTGAACTGGCAATTGGTGTTTTCTGAATCGGCTTTCTCAACCCAGCAACACTTGTGGCTTGAGGGTTGCGTTTCTTACCTCTTGTTTCCTTTTCATGCCATTTCTCTCGCAATAGTTTCTGTAATATCTATTTTTGGATCTGCCTAACTCTGGTAATCACTTTTCTTCTGGATTTTAGTTGATATTTGATCTGATACCTGTTTTCTTAGGTGTTAAGATTTTTAAGTTGTCGGATAATTATGTGGCGTTTCTTTTATCTAGCTTAGTTTAAAGCTTGGTTTTACTTGAATTGACTTGATTTTCTTGTAACTCTGTGCTCTGTCATGTTCTCTCAGTCACTGTAATATCATATATCATGGACTCTCCTCAGTCTGTTGTGTCGCCATTCAAGAGCTCTGTGTTGGGTGAGAGTGAGAAGCAAAAGTCTGGTCCCTTGTTTAAGGACATAGAGGTCAACGGAAAGGAAGCTCATAATCCAGAAGATTCTATTGGTGTTCTTGATGTTTACATACATCAAGCTAGGGACATCCATAACATTTGCATATACCACAAGCAAGATGTTTATGCTAAGATTTGCCTAACTAGCAACCCTGAGAACACTGTGTCTACCAAGATTATAAATGGAGGAGGAAGGAATCCTGTGTTCGATGAGAATCTTCGCTTAAATGTTAAAACTGTTGATTCCTCTCTCAAATGTGAGATATGGATGCTGAGTAGGGTCAAGAATTATCTAGAAGATCAACTTCTTGGTTTTGCCTTGGTGCCTGTGTCTGAAGTGCTTGTCAAGAATGGAACCCTTGAGAAAGAGTTCTCTCTTTCTTCCACTGATCTGTTCCATTCCCCTGCTGGCTTTGTCCAATTGTCCCTTGCATACAATGGAACTTCACCTGATGTCATGGTGATACCTCCTTCAGTCTCCACCGAGGCAGCAGCCACTGGTGCTGCTGTGCTGGACCCCGAGACCACGGATTCACTGTCCAAAGATTTAGATAAAATCGAATTCCCGGATCCCAAGATTGAGAACGAAGACCACCTGATGGTTTCAGAATATTTTGGGATTTCTTGTGATGAGACTCAGTGTTCTGAAAGTCTGGCCACTTCTGATGCTGATCATCACAGCTCTGAAGCAGGTGTTCAACTTGTAGAAAGCTTCTCAACATGCAGTGTTGGGTCTGCCCAACCTTCCATTAACAAGGTTGATTCACCACCAAGCATTGTATCAACAAATGGGGTTTCTTCCCCTTCAGTGCAAGCCAGCTCAGACTCATCTGATGCTGCTCATGCTCCATCAAAATCTCCTACAGAGGAACAAGTTTCTGGCACCAAAGTAGAGAAACGCACGGTGGACGCTAAAGATGGAGGCGGTGAGAGTGATTCCTCAAGCGGGGTTCCAAATAAAGATGAATCATTCCCTAAGCCTGTTGTGTCTGTGAACATTGAGCCAGAGCCAATGGTGGTGCAGCAGGATATAGTAGACATGTACATGAAAAGCATGCAGCAGTTTACCGAGTCTCTGGCGAAGATGAAGCTTCCTGATATCGAAATCGGTTCGCCAAGTTCAGGAAACTCAAGCTCTGAGAAGAAATTGGAGTCACCAGCATCAAAGAGCAACAATAACTCTCGTGTGTTTTATGGGAGCAGAGCTTTCTTCTGAGCTTCCCATGTTCAAGGTTGTTATATCAAACATGCTGGTGACCTTTAGATCTTTAGAACAAAAAACTGATGTCAGTATAATAATGTACTGTATTAGTGTGGTTTATTCTCCTTCTGTACTTTGAGATGTTTTAGGATGACTCTGAAACATGACTGTGTTGTACTCTGTCTCTCTCCGTCTCACAAGCTTGGTTCTATATCTCAACTGCTACATGAACTTTTCTATGTTGGTATCATCTTCTTTGATCTATCTGTATCTTTTTCATTTTGGAAGTTGATAATTGTGAAATCAAATTCCATCTAACAATTAAGTTAATCATTTGTGTACTAATCATGCGTCATGATATGGTCCCACATTCACATGGACACTGTGAGTGAGTGTTGATGAGGCGAAATTATGCACTGGATTTCACATGCTCGTACGCTCCGGCAACGAAGATCTGCATTTTTTTAATCTTGAGTAAAATACTTTTCTGCATTTTTTTAATCTTGAGTAAAATACTTTTCCTATCCTCCTCTTTTGCCTTGTTGACGAACACTTTCTTTCTGTATTTTTAAAAAATATTCATTCAGTTTAGTAGTGTAACACATTTATAACTAATTTACACATTTTAATAAATTGGTTAATGACATTTAAAACTGCACATTCTTTTGATTTTTTTTAATATTTATCTTTTTTTAGTAGAGTATTTCACTTAGAAAATTTTATTGATTACATTCTTAATTAAAGACTTTTTTAAAGTTATATTGATTATATTTTTAAAAATTTAAAATGTCTTATATTTTTAATATCATATTTCTTAAAAAGTATCTGAATGGAGGAGGTACACTGATATCTAAATAATATAAAATAAAAGAATTAGTTGGGATGGGGTTATAGTTGTTAGTTTGTTGTTATTACTTGTTATTACGTATATAATCCCTAGTCCGGTGGTGTAATGTTGTTGATTTCCTTATGAATCAGAGAATTATTCAAAATTCTCTGCTCCCATTCTCTCTTCCTCTTCTACCAACCTCTCTACTCTATTTTCTACTTATTGGTGGTATCAGAGCAAATTGCGCCCCCCCCCCCCCTTTTAATGCCTAAAACACACCCTGATGTCGCACTTAAATAGATGTAAGAGTTCGTACCTTGGAGATGCAAATGCAAGCCCTTATGGTGTAGGTGGCGCAATTGATCTATACCTTCAATGAATCCCGTAATGATCAAGGGTCGACCTCCAATGGCAGGAGCAGATAGTATAGGCCAAGACTAGAGAGTTTTATTGGAAATTGATGCATGTGAAAAGGGTATTGGAATTGTATTGGTTTAACATAATTAGCCCATTGCATTTTTCAGCAAAGCTTTGAGTCCAAAACAGCTTCAACTTTTAGTTTATGAGAAAGAATTGTTGGTAGTGATGCTAACAGTGGAACATTGGCATCAACATCTATAAAGTTGGAAATTTACAACAAGAACATATCAACAAAGCCTCAAATTTTTGCTTGGTCAAAAGTTGAAGACCTCTTGTCACGTGTATTGGGCTGCTAAATTGATAGGATGTGACTATGAGATCCAACACAAGAAGGGAATTAATAACAAAGCCACTGATGCTCTCTCTAAACTCTCAAGTCCTCAAAAGTTGCAGATTGCTGACACTTCCTCACCTTATTTATTACATAATCTTGAAGAAAGTTGGATGTTGGATCGAAATTTAAAGGCTCTCATTTCTGAGTTGCAGAGGCAAAATGGCACCATTAAATCTTATTCTTGGGATGGTAAATCCCTTAGAAAGAATGTTAAGTTGGGTGTAGGTAAAAGTTCATCTTTGAGATAACTCATTTTGGAATGGTTGTATGCTAGTGCTCAAGGAGGACACTCGGGTATTCAAGCTACTTACCATAAAATTAAAAGTTTATTTTGGTGGAAGAAGATGTTTCAAGATGTGCAAGATTTTGTCAAGAGTTGTGATATTTGTGCATGCTGTAAGTGTGGGACTGTGGCAAGTCCAAATCTGTTGCTACCACTACCTATTCCAAGCAAAGTTTGGGAAAGTATCACAATAGATTTCATAGAAGGGCTCCCTAAATGTGGAGAAAAAGAAGTCATTTGGATTGTGGTGGATTAGAATGAGCAAATATGCCCATTTTATAGCTCTTTCTCATCTTTTTTCAACATCTATGTTAGCTCAGTGGTTTTTGGATATTATTTAGAGATTGCAGAGCTCCAATTAAAGTGATAAATGATAGAGATCTGGTGTTCATTAATAATTTTTGAAAGAATTTTCTCAAGGTGATTAAAATACAGCAAAAACTCACTTCTCTCTACTATCCTCAAATAAATGGACAATCTAAGGTGCGAAATACATGTTTAGAGACTTATCTTAAATGTAAATGTTAGAAGAATCCTAAAGAGTGAAGCAATTGGCTGCCATTAACTGAATGGTGGTACAACACTAGTTTTCACACTTCTATTAAAGCTACTCCTTATGAATTACTCTATGGGCAAAAATCTCCAATCTACACTCCTTATTTGCCTAGAACAGAAATGGTAGAAGCTGTAGATAGAAGTTTTGGAGCAAGAGAGCGAGTGATTGGAGTCCTGAAGCATCATCCACACACAGCAGCAAAACAAATGAAGCAAAAAGGTTGATTTAAAGCGATCGATCATGAATTTGAAGTAGGTGAATGGGTGTTTTTGAAGTTACAAAGCCTTACATCACCCTTAAAATATCTGATTGAACCTAAACTCCAAAATATTTCACTGACTTGGATGCTCTCTCACGTTCCTTTTCTGGTGTGCTGCAAGAAATATGAATTGTGTAGTGTGTGCGTGTATTATGTTTGATTAATTAGGGTGGTAGTAGGCCTTAGGCCCACACCCAATCCTTTTTTTTTTGGTATTACACATATATTTATTTAGCTATTTAGTTTTACATTTTGTCATACATATAGAAAAATTTCTCTTGCCTCTAGGAACACTCAAGTTTAGCACCAAGGTATTTTGGGCTTTATAAAATGCTAAAGAGAGTAGGAAAAATTGCTGATCAAGCTGGAATTACCTCCTGAATCTAGAATTCACTCTACATTTCATGTATCACTCCTCAAACTACGTCCAGATCCTTCAGTGAAGCATAGGCATCCACTTGAAGATTGGCCAAAGGTTTCATATTTACTATTTCCTGAGAAAATATTGAATAAAAGAGTGGGGAGGAAGAAGGCATAATTATAGCAAAGATTTTAGTCCTGTGGAGAGGCTTGCCTGATGAAAAAGCTACTTGGATGTTTCAATTTAATTTTTGGAGACAATTTCTAGATTTCCCTATTGTTGACTCTTGTGGACAATGGTGTTTGGAGAGGGGATATTGATATGTAAATAATACAAAACTAAAGAATTAGTTAGGATAAGCGTTATAGTTGTTAGTTAGCTATTATTAGTTGTTATTATGTATATAATTTATAGTCCAATGGTGTAACAACAGTGATTTCCTAATGAACTAGAGTATTATTTAGAATTCTCTCCTATGTTTCTCTCTTTCTCTTCTTCTGCTCTTTTCTATCTTCTACCTAATTATCTTATACTTCAATTCAATTTGCTAACACCATTAAGGATATTTTTAAAAGTATTCTAAAGTGATACTTTTTTCATTAAAATTATAGTAAAATATGTTTTATCTACTAATCTACACCTTACTCTAATGAATTTCTTGTTGATCTAAATCTTTTGATATTTTCAAAAACGCATGGCGCCTATCAAAATTATATTACTTTTATAGTTTGGTAAAATTTAAAAGGTTGTTTTGACCAAATTTTGAGTTTAAAAGATTTCTAAACAAAAAATAGATCTAAATAACGTGTTTAAAAATTTTAGAACTATAAATTTAATCAATTTTATATTTTAAAATATAGATTATATATATATATGTATATATGTATATGTATGTATTAAATGTATATTTGAAAGTTAATTTCATTCAGGTGATAAAATTTTAAAAAATTTCTGAAAATATGAATTACAATTAATTATTTTAATTATTGCTAACATAAATGTTCAAATAATGGTTAATGAATATTGTGAAATAGTTTTTGGTAAAAAAAATTAATAATATGATTTAATGGTTAAGAGTGCATGCATGTACCAACATGTGTTAGTTGTGAGGAGTTGCAATCACTTAAGTATAAGGCTTTGAATTAACATCAAAGTTTAGGAGTGGAGAATGGAATGATTAATTTTCTCGATAAAAAGATATTTCTAATTGATATAAAATAAATGAGCCAAAATCTTTTAAAAAAATTTAGAACTATAGAATTAATCAACTTTATATTTTAAAATATACATTATACATATATATATATATATATTAAATGTATACTTGAAAGTTAATTTCATCCAGGGGAAAATAATTTTTTTAAAAAATTACAAATATATGAATTACAATTAATTATTTTAATTATTGCTAACATAAATATTTAAATAATTGTTAATGAATATTGACTTTTGGTGAAATGTTAATAATATGATTTAATGGTTAAGAGTGTATGGATGAACCAACAGGTGTTAGCTATGAAGAGCTATAATCACTTAAGTATAAGGTCTTGTATTAACATCAAAATTTAAGAGTTATGAGGATGGAATGATTAATTTTCTCTACAAAAAGATATTTCTAATTGATATAAAATACATGAGCCAAAATGTTTTCCTCTTTATCATTTATCATACCTAATATTCAGTTTTATTCTTCACATTGCGTTTTGTAGTATGCTAATTCAGTAACTTCGAAATGGTCATGATTATCATTCTTGATGACGATGAAATAGGCTTCCAAACTGCTGCAATAGTAGAAACGTTGAAATGGTCTCAGACTTCATGAAACTCCATAAATATTATATATAGATGTATGGAGAATTAAGTTTTCCAAATTTAAATATGGTACAATGATGAACAAGACAAGAAAAACGGAAGAGAAGAAACTATCAATGATGAACAAGACAAGAAAAATGGAAGAGAAGAAACTAAGTTATTTCAAACAGGCACTTCAAGTATCTCTGCAGATCTTGTGTAAATGTGCCTCCTACAGATCCATGCAATTTGACCAGTGTCTCTATACCTCACACGCCACAACCCAAACTTCTCTGCAATATCCTTCCCTGTGGAGCATCTTCTCTCCCTCAAGAAATCCACAATCCATTGCTGTGCTGCCCTTAAATCTTGTTGAACATCTCTTGAACCTTCTGCTGCTCTATTC